TTTTTAGAATCTGATAAAAACTGAGAGAAGAGAACTCAACAGTAATTCAACATGACAGAACAATGTAATCTTTCTGGTACTACATGCCTGCTTACCATGTATTAAATACAGCACTGCGAGGTGCAGGTCCCTAACACTGACATTCTGAATGCATACACTACCATGGCCCTGTGACCTCTTCAGCTCCCCGTCACTTTTCTCTAGCAAGTGCCAAGAAATCTTTGCTCACTTGACTTCCAGCTACCAGCCGGCCTTAACACATCATTTCTGTAATACGTCCGTTTTCTGTGGAAGCACGTTAGCTAGAGACAGTTAAAGGAGTGCTCAAAGAAACACGGGCAATAAGGCCATTTAAATGTTATGGTGTGACTTTTAAGGTTATTACTGAAAAGAACATAAAAAACTTAATCCTGATTTTAAAATAAAACACCTTAAACATCCAGAAAAATGTCTTTAAACGTCAGTTATAATAAAGGGTTCTTCCCACAGTATCCAGAAAGATCTTAGATTTAGATATCTCAGATCTAATGCTGTGTTGACACCTGAAGTGCTTTATACACATGATTTTTTTAATCCCTAGAATAATACTGAAAGTTAAGTACTTCTCCAATGCCTGTGGAAATCAGGGCTGGAAGAGAGAATTCAAGAGCTGGATAATGCCTTCAACCAACATGTGGACTCCCTGCCCCTTCAAGAAAAGTCCTGAAGAGCCTTGGCAAAAGCAATGGACAGGATAAATCCAGGGGAATCCACCAGCTGGATACAAGAGACTAAAAGGAAGAGGGCATTCTGAAGGAAGAAATGCCAGGTCTTAGTGACAAGATTGATGGAGAGGAGAAAGATCAAAGTATCCATGGATATTTGGAGACAGAAGAATGGTTATCCCCTCCCTCAAAAAAGGAACTGCTGGGAAGAGGTGCCAGTTCCAAAGACAAGACCTAAACTGGAACATGGTTGTGATAAGGCAAAAGAGACATATCCCAAATGGGAATGGATATCCCCTTCCTAGTTCACAGATGTTGAACTTGATAGAAAATATGTTTATAGTGCACAAGAGTTATTTCAAAGGTGCTCAAAGATGTCCAGCCAAGAAGAGATGGAGAACAAAGGTTCCCAAGACAAAACCCCTGGATTTCAAAGAAGACTTTTGTTATCATTATGTTCAACAGACCAGTAAGACAGACCACAAGAAGGGCATGAAAAGGACTAAGGAACTGGAACATCCTACTTATGACAACACTTGACTCATTCAGAAAACAGGCACTGGAGGGCCCACCATTTTCCAAACAGTGACCCAGATTCAGCCAGGAACTCCCTACCCTCATGGAGCTTATGTTTTGGTTGGGCAGACATACAAGGAAGAAGCACGCAAACAGAGAGCCTGAACTGAAGTCACTGTAAGTGCTCTAGCACTGAGGGAGAAAAAATAAAGCTAGATATGAGAAGGAATGAAGGGAGGGGCGGGTATTTGAATACTGTCACCTGGCAATCAAGGAAAGATCAGCTGAACTTTAAGAGGAGGTGACAAGATTAAATTCCATCTTGTAAGCAAAACGAAGACTTGAGCACATGCACTCAAAATATTTGCTGCCTACTATACGAAGCACCATATTTGTAGGTATTTGAAATTTAGTGCATACTGAGGAAAAACCAATGGCATCTGAAACCTGGAGGATGTACAGAGGAGAAGCCAAGGGTCCTGTAGCCACAAGCACGATATGATCAGGAGAAATACCTGACACTTCTAAACCCCACAATTTCCTATGCCAAGCTGAATTCTCCAACATTACGGGAAAACCCACACTGCAGAAGGGATGAAAAACCAACCCAGTCAAAGGAAATCTTCCAGTTCTACAACAGAAAACAAACACACACCACAAAGGTATCTTCACTTCTGAAGTCACTTCCAGAAACTTGAAAATTCTGACTATATTATCAGACAAAGGTAGATGCCAAAGCACTGAAATGCTTAAGGGAAGATAAAGAAGCAAAGGAAGATGTTTGTAAGACTCAGCAGATAAGTCACTGTGCATTGATCAATACCTACTGAATGCCACAAGAGTGAGCAAAAACATGTGGGCACTTCATCAGTTAGTACAGATACCAAAAGGATCTAGTCACAGGCAGGAGCCAGGAGAGAATCATAAGATGAATGAAAAAGGATGGTATGACTGTCACCCACTGGGGCCGAGCTAAAGATGAGGGTTCAGAGACTCCTTTTCTGAAAAACAGAAGAGTTAAGAGGCTGTCACAAAGCTGAACCTCTGCTGCAGATAGTGGTGCAGGTTTGTTGAGAAAAAGGTTGGATGATTAGGTAAGTAACCATCATGTCTGTGGCTGATGAGTAGTTTGATGAACTGAGTTGCCCTCTTCAGCCCCACACTTACCACATCTGCACTAAAGTCACTGGCCTCCCCACAAAGCTGTAAACAGCCCATAAGAATCACAGCTCATTTAATCTCTATACTACTCACAACAAGCAAGTAAGGGTGGCTCCAGCAATGCCTGACAAGGCCAAGTTTTAATGATACAAGTAAAAAGGAGAGACTAAATAGCTGAAGGTTTGAAGGGTGCAAGAAACAGAAGTGGCCAGATTCCTGCTAACTGGTTGTAACTGACTGCTTTTACCTCAATGAACAGGGCAGCCAGGGACTTCCATCTCTCCTGCTGGATAGCCCTGAGAAAGTGGCTTCTATTCCAAGTCTCAATTTGTAAAATAAAGAGGTCAGAGCAAATGTGAGGTTGCACACTTTCAATGAGTAGAAGCTGTCTATCGTTATCCTGAAGCCTGCGGTGGGAGTAGGGGACACAGGCCTCCCCCTGGAAGTAGGGAAGAGGAAACACAGAGTTGGCATGACCACCACACTAAGGACCTTTGAGGCTGGTCAGCAAGAGTGGCGACAGGGGTTTGGGAAAGGGGCAGAGGCATCCGTGAGCAGTGGTAATACGTTATACAGAGCCCAGAGATTAACGATGCACAGCCTGGGGAAAGAGTGTGAGTGTCCAGGATTTGCTCCTGTCTGATAGGTACATATACACCCATGTAGCCAGGCAAAAGAAAGTCGGGAGAAACCCATTTTGCACAACCTCAATACTTACAATTTAAGATATGTTAGAGCAATATAGCAATAAGCAAGTCCACTCCTTGGCTTTGCAATGTTTATTTACTGTACTTACAGTGCCATCAGACTGTATTTTGAGCTTCTGGGGAGTTTCCATTTACGATCAGTAGAAATACCTGACACTTCCAAAACCCACAATTTCCTATGCCAAGCTAAATTCTCCAACATTACAGGAAAACCCACACTGCAGAAGGGATGAAAAACCAACCCAGTCAAAGGAAATCTTCCAGTTCTACAACAGAAAACAAACACACACCACAAAGAGCACTGCTGAAATATTCCTACTTAAATAACTTTTCACTCAATCTTAATCGCTTCATTCTGAAGCCCTTGAAATGTATTAAGTTACATAGTCTGTATTTCAATGCCTAAAATTATACAATTTAAAACAGTGAGTGGGCTTATGACTTAAGTCAGATTTGAAGAAGCTAAAGATCGGGGGAGGGGGGGGGGAAACATGTATTTGAAAATGCCTGCCAGAACTGGCTTTTCTGCCTCTGAGCTACATAAAGCCTTGGGGTGGGGTGGGGGAGTGCTTTGCAAGTATCCTAGTGAGGATAATCTCTGTGATCACATAGAGAAAAACCATCCAATCAATTCCACAAGAACCAAGGAAAGTTAATCCAAGAAAAATAACACACTTGAAATGTTGAAAAAAACACAGTCTGCTTTTTCAAAACATTCTTTCAGCACTGGAGAATATACCAGGTCGTTCTAACAAGCTAGAACATTTGAGCAGTGTTTCTGTGACAATGACAGGGCACTGATGTTAACTAAAGGACAAACAAGATATTTGAGTTCCAAGGCTCAGGCCTTCGGGCTCTCTCCAGGCCTCCCAGCAGTCTCCCTACTTCCTGCACACACCTGGGATTGGGATGCCTTCCTCCTAAGGTTACTCATGCCAAATTCGGAAGGCAAGCTCAAGGGTTAGAAGTAAGTGTGTGTGTGTGTGTGTGTGTGTGTGTGTGTGAGAGAGAGAGAGAGAGAGAGAGAGAGAGAGTGTGTGTGTGTGTGTGTCACTCCCTCCCCCCTTCACTCCAATAAAGCACACCCAGCATGTGTCTCTAAACAAGTTGGGCACTGCAGAGCGATTAATTTACGTAAACAGCTCTGGAAAGGTAAAGCATCACTGCAAGCACGCAAGTCAGCAGGCTCAGAGTGGCCGGCCACTCCTGAGAGACAGCTGCAAGCAAGGCTGACCCGTGGGCACAGCCTCTGCTGACGTTCCCAGCAGCTCCTAGCACGCAACAGGTCCACGCAGGCAGGGCCCGAGCGGCGGGCGTCTGGGCACCTGCGCCCAGCTCCCCAGGCCCAGCTCTCCTCCTCCCGCCCCACCTCGCGGCCCCCGATGGAGAGCACAGCCCAGGGCGGTGAGGCCAGGGGCGCATTCCTCCCAGATGCCGCGAGAGCGCCGCTCACTCGCGCGCCGCCCGGGTCCCAAGGTCCTCCAGGACCTGCCTTAGCCAAAGCGGGGACATGCCCTGGCCAGGGGTCGGGGAAACCGGAGGCTCTCGGAACAAGCCAGGGGCGGGATGTGCGGTGCTCGGTCGCCTCCAGCTGGGAACAGTCCGCGCCACCTGGCTCCACACCTGCCCGGGCACAGGTGCCAGGTGTTAGTTCTTGGACACAGGTCCTGGCTACTTAAAGAGCCCAGGACGTTTCTCCAATGGCATAGCTCTGGTGACCACTTGGAAACATCAGATAAGAGGAAGAAGAACTTTTACAAGGGGAAGGATGGGGTTAGTGACCTAAGGGGAGAAAGAAGCAGGTGAGGGCAGGAAGAGGTGCTTCTGCCGGACCCGCGGGCCGGCCGGGGCGCCGAGGTGGACGGGAGGAGTGGGCACCACGCTAGGGGCGCAGGTAAGGCCGGCCACTCACCTCGGGCAGCTCGCGGAGCTGGTTAGCGTCCAGCAGCAGCTCCTCCAGGCTGCGGGCATAGCGGTAGATGTCCTCGGGGACGTAGACCAGCGAGCAGTGGCGCTTGTCGATGGTCTCCACATGACGGTTGCACCGCCAAAGGGGGATGCAGTGGAACATCGCCGCCTCCCCCGCCGCCGGAGCCGGGTCCCGAGCCGCGCAGACCCGAGCTCCGAGCGCGCTCTGCCGGGCGGCTGCGCTGCGCTGCGCTCCGCTCCGCCCGGCGCCGGCTCCCCAGGCTCACTCGCTCTTCGTGCCGGACTCCGCGGTGCTAAACGCTCGGAGGAAGCTCAGGCGGGAGCCCCCGCCGCGTCCCAGCGCCCCCGCCCGCCAGCCGGAGCGTCCCCTCCCACTCTCCAGCCGCCGCCGCCGCCGCCGCCGCCGCCGCGCGCGGAGCTTCCTACTCGCGCCCGCCGCGCGCACTGCGCATGTGCGCCCGGGGCGCGCGCCCAGGGCGTCTCCCGGCCCCAGGGATGCTCCGCTCCGGGTTTTCCCGGAGACTTGCAGCAGGAGAGGGTCGGGGAACCTGCGGGCCCGTGGTGTACTGTCCCCCCGAATCGGCAGGGATCCAGGCAGCATCGAGCCCTTTGAGGAAGGCTGACTGTGAAAGGAGGGGCTGGAGGGAAGGAGGAGAAGGAGGAGAGGCAGCCTGGCGGGCTCAGAGCAACTTTGGAGTTTTAGTTTTACTTAAGTCGCTCTCTCTGCTCTTCGCTCCCCTTCCCCAAAACAACTTTCTCTTCCGGGGTCACGCGGGACCGCCCCAAGCGTACCTTGCGCGCGCGGCGGGCGCCCGGGCTGCGCGAATCGGCGGGTGGGGGCTCGGCACTGCGCCCCCGCCCAGTCCCTGGGGTGCCCTCCGCCCCGCGGGCACCGCCTGCAGGCTTTGTAAAGCGGGGCACATCTTCAGTTAGTCTGCAACTGCAGTCTGAAAACTCCCCCTCCTCGAGTCTCCAAAAGCATAGGTGTCCGAGCGACCACGAGATCCTGAGAGACGTGGATGCGCCGCGCCAGGAGCCCCCAGGCAGACAGGAGTGTAAACGTGCGCTTCTGAGCCCGTCCAGCGCGACCAGATACGGACCCCTGGCGACTAAGCCCTACTAGTGCAGAGGTTGCTGCTGCCATAGAGGGGCCGGTCATGGGTGCCAAGTGAGCATCCCCCTTCCATCTCTCTGTCCCTTACATCGCACAGATTGCAGCCCGAGAGGACCTGGAGGCTTGCTGTTGGTTGATAACGACCATTCTCCCCCATCCATGTCCAAGACCAAGGCCGGAACCCTGAACTCTTCTCCTGTGACTGTTTGCACCAGAATAACCAAACTCGCTCCTTGGTGAAAGGTTGTTAATCAGGTCCAGGCCAAGGCATTGATGGACTGTTTCTCTTGGGGTTTCCTCTGACTCCCTGCCCTGCTGCCTCTATTCTGCACCTTCTCTTTCAAATGTATTCAGGCTCCAAGTTCAAGACAGCTCTCCCACCCTCCTTCCTGCCCCTTGCTGCCACAACTAAAATCTGGAGTCACGGAGTTCACATTTGTCCACGGGGCTGAAAGCTGAGCATGCTCAGTGGCCAAGACAAAAGTTTGATCTGAAACTAGTTTTTGCACACTCTTCTGTCTGTTCCAACTATGAACAGAACAGTTTCCCTAGAAGAAAGGGGAAAGGGGATACTACAAGAAGGGCTCTTTTTCACCCAGTTGGTGAGAAGAGGTCGGACCTTTGTTTCTGCCCCAGCATTATCTATCACCTTAACTCTGTCCTTCCAGTTGATCCCTAAAGTCCTGTTACCCTACCCACTTCACACTCTGTTTGTTTGTGCTGATTTGATTCCTACATGTTCAAGGACAATTGCCTGAGACTTTGAACCTCCACTCCTTCTCTCTCATTTTTGCATTCCTGAAACAATGTACAAAGCCCACTTTCTGCCACCCTTCCTGGAAGACTTTGGTTCCTAACTGAAAAACCTGGAAAGATTAACAAGTCACTACCTTTGAAAGTTTTCTAACTGCTTTTTAAAAATGAATGAAGGCTGACACTCTCAGTTTAACATTGATTGTCAGAGACAATCACACTGAATTATTTAATAAACAACAAATGTGTGTTAAAGAATGACTGGTCTGTTAAAAATTCAAACCTCAATAAGCATTCTCTGTGTGCCTTTCCATGGTGCGTACACTTTGCTGTGTTGTGATTATTTTTGTATCACCTTAATCCCAAAGAAATTTAGACCACTTAGACAACAGGTACTATCTCACTTGTTTTATAAAGCCTAAAAGCTACCACAGTGCCACAGTGCACACGATTTAGCTGTCTGATTTTTGTTGAATTGATTCTATGAGCAGTCAGTGGAAAATGTCTGGCTTTCCTTGTTTCCAAGGATCAGCCAAGAACTGGAAACAGTCTGGTTAGAAAGAATGACATCAATGCCTATTCAAACAATTAACTCTTTATTCACCAGAAGAGTTTTAAAGTTTCCCTCAATATAATTTCTAGCTTCTTTTCCCACATAGAAATGAGTGTGACTCAATATAAACAAAATTTAAAAGACCATCTAAATCAGTTTCTTTTTAGAATAATTATAATTCTTTAATTTTCACTGTGAACCATTTTTCATAACATTCCAAGCTGTTTGAGTTCTGGTTTTGCCACCCAAGAGCTTAATAGAATTGAACAGGTTAATTAAATTTGTAAGCCTTAATTTTATCATCCCTCAAACAATGACAATGGACATAGGGTTGTTATCAGGACTCAATGAGATGATATATTAAAAAAAAGCTTAGCAGACTGTCAACACATCAGTTCCAACAATAAATGTTCACCGTGCATTAGATTAGCCAGCCTCCAGGAAAGCCCTCAACAGCCTCCATCTCCTCACTGGTCTCTGTAACCATCTTCTACCTTTTTCCTCCTCAGACTACTCACTTGAGAATGTAGCTAGCTGCTACATGGGGCAGTCCAATGGAAGCTCCACATGCAAGGATGGAGAACTGTCTTGACAGCCAGCAAGGAACACAGGCTTTTTACCAGTAGTCCTGTGAGTATGTCATCTTGGAAGCCAACCTTCATCCCTTGTCAAGCCTTCAAGGGACTGAAGCACTACCTGATAGCTTGACTGAAGGATCTTGCCCCAGGACCACTCAGCTAGCTGCTTTCCAATCTTGCCCCTCAGACACCATATGAGACAAGAAATGTTTGTTGATTTAAATGCTAAGATTTGGGATAATTTACTGCACAGCAACAGGTAACATAAAAGTTCGTACTATTCACCAGGCATTATGCTAAATACAAGAAATCCACAAAGAACAAGATAGTTCTTGCCATCATCTTGGAGCTTATGCTCCAAGGCTACAAGAATGATAAATAATTAATGGTTTGGTGTTAGTTTTATCACTAACATTTTCTAGCATGAAAGTTTTTTTTGAAGAGAAAGTCCAAAGTGGTAGCTGGTGAGATAGGAGCAGAATTGGGACTCAGCGACTTGGATGAGTGAATTTTAAAGTGAGTTACCACCATTTGTTGACCGGAATGGCTTTAAAAGAAATTAATCCCAAATATTACTGAAGACACAGAGTAACTGGAGCTCATACATTGCTGGTGGGACTGTAAAATGGTAAAACCACTATGTAAAGCAATTTAAATATAAACACAGGCTTACCTTAATTTAGATCCAACCACTCTCCTCCTAGATATTTATGCACATGGAATGAAAACATATGTCCACATAACAGTTGCTTACAAATGTCGATAGCAGTTTTATTAATATTAGTTAAGACCTAGAAGCAATTCAAATACCCATTTGCAGATAAATAGATTTTGTTCAAAATATAGCATGTTGAAAAAAGGGAATACAACTGTACTAATACACATGACAGTGTGGGTGCCTCTCAAAAAAGATCATGTCAAGCAAAAGAAGCCAGATACAGAAAGGCACGACTGACTGCATTGTGTCCTTCATGCTGGATTCTAGAGAATGAAGACTAACATAAAGTGATGCAGTCTGGGTCAGTCAGCAGCAGCTTGTATTGAGCATTGGATATAAAGGGAAAGATTGGTAGCAAATGACTTGAGGGAACTTTTGGGGGTGACAGAATATTTATCTTTATTTTGGTGGTAGTTAGATGTGTGTATACATTTATTAAAATCAAACTATACACTTAAAAGGGCAACCTTTTATTGCATATCATTTATAAATCAATAAAATTATTTTTTTTAATTTACAGTACTGTCCAGGTAATGTATCCAACAGGCAGTTGTCAATTAAATGTAGAGCTAAGGGTCATGTGGCAACTACTTAAAAATACTTATTGGGTGTCTTTTATGCCCTGCATTAGGCTAATTTGCTGGGGAGACAAAGAGGAACAAGACAGAGCTTTTAGCTTACTGGAAGAAAGGCAGTTATCAAGAAAGTTATAACAGTCACAGCACTATCGTGATAGAATACAGCTTTTTTTCCCCCTAATCTAGAAAAAACATAGGCAGTCCTGCTTGTCTTGTAAAGGATTGCTTCAGTGACCCTTTGCAGTATTTATGTACAGATCAAAGAGCAAATTAAATCTTAGGCTATGCAAATCTGGACCCTGGGAAGACAACTCAGTTTATATAAGGATCCCACAACTTTCTCAGAAATGAAGCATTCACAAGCCTCAACCCATGCTCCCCCAAATTTGAATTTAAGGATATTTTCCAGATTTTTATATCCTTGCTATAAGGGAAGGTTATGTTCAAATTACTCAAGAAACTTTGACAGCCTATAGAATTCGGTGCATAAGTCTAGAGTACAGCATCCTTATAATCAGTCACTCCTAAAACCTCTCTGATTCCTTATTGCTACTTAAATTAAAATCCTATCCTCTTTCTCTTGCTTTTTCATTAAAATGTTTAGTCTAGTTATATTTAATGTAATTATTGAATGGTTGGATTTAGGTCTGCTATTTTTTTGTTTGCTTCCTGTTTACGCCATTTGATTTTTATTCCTCTGTTCCTTCTTTCCTGCTGTCTTTTGAGTAAATAGATATATTTTATAATTACATTTTATATTATATATATTAGTGTTAGTGGTTACTCCAGTGAATGTAATGTAAACTTGTACAGTTTACTTACACAGTAAATATGCAAATTCATATAAAACATAGACCCTTGCAATTGTGTAGGTCAATTTGCCAAATCTCTGGTTGTTTATGTCACAGACTTTATTCATACTGCATAGTTACAAGCCCCAAGATTCAAAATACTATAGTTTTTCCTAAAACAGACATATCTTTTAAAGAAACAAGAGGAAAATTTTTATTCATCTGTTTATAATTTCCAGTTCTTTTTACTCCTACCTGGTGTCACTTCCTTTTAGTAAAAGCAGATTCTCTTGGTTTTCTTTAATCTAAAATACTTATTTTTGCCCACCTCAGTTCTT